AAAGCCAAATAGCAGTTTTAGTTACAACTGAAGAAAAATGTTTTTTGTTGGGTCCTGTTCATCTGGTGGGTAAAACAAAAAGTAAAACTCCCACAGTGTAAGTCTCTGAAAGAAAATACAAGAAGCATGAAAAACTAAATAGTAACTGTCAATAGATGGTACTTGAAGAAGAAAGGATGGAAAGGTCAACAGAATGAAGGAAAGGAGAATTACTGGAGCTCTCCCAACATAACTGCCAATGAACACCCCCTCCCAGACTCAACCTTCCTAGGTGGTCTGGAAAAACGTTATGATTAGGGAGCACAAATGCTTAATATGGATCTAAAATTCTTTGGTCTTCTCTCCAAAATCCTTCTTGATAGAATAATCTCACTTTGTATTTGAGGGGACAGAATGAGAATCAGGAAGGATCAAAGGACAATAAAACCAAATCTCCAATACCTGACAGTGTTCTTTTTTTCTCCACCACAAACATACCTCTTTGAAAACCTTTCTAGGAGGACAATCAGTCAACATCTGTAAGTAGAACTGCAAGATAAAAACAGGACTTCCCTTGTCACAAATAAGACATCTGACTGAGTTTATGAGTCATTTTGTCCAGAGGTGGGCCAAACTCCAGCTTTACAGCGTTTTGTACCTTAGAAGCTGGGATATCTTCATGACAGTGATAGTTTGCTACAGCTTCAGTGGGATACACTTTGGCCTTTCTGTCCTTGGAATCTAGATCTCCCAAAGGCAAAAAACTGCCCTGATGATTTCCAAAAGCTCATTTTCAGGACATCAGAGTCTGCTCCCCTAACCTCTAGTGACCCTAAAGAGTTGCCCAGTCAGCTTTGAATCATTCAATGTAGACAGCCATGATAATGCTTTTAACATGAGAGCTTTCAAAACACGGGTCCAATTTGAAAGTTTCTTGTTTGAGTTGGATTACACATTTTATGGAAAGGAGACTAGCAAATCCTTCCAAAACAGCTAGTAAGTTTTTCCTTCTAAGGAAGGCACCTTTTCCATTCACGTTACTGTATGGTCATGTGTTTGGTCATACAGAGACAGCTGGTAACGAACACAGACTTGACAACATAGTTTGCTGTTACCTGCTTTGAGTACTCCAGGGTCCTTTGTAGCTCTGCTCTAGAGTATTATTTTTCCTGTGCCTAGGAACTGTGAGCTATTTTTTCCTTCTTCAGGAGGTCAAGGCAGAACACTGGTTGGTTAAGATACAATTCTGGCAGCACCAGTTGGACCAGAGGACAAAAGTGTTGTTGCACCAGATAATTAATGTTACCCAGTCCAAAAGCCTGGGAATATTTTAATACTATAAGGAGACACTAGGAAGTCTTTGTTCCTGCATGAGAACTGCTGTGTGCTTATTAAGTTAATCTTGAACTAATAATGAGAAGATCATTTGTTGATATAAACCAAAGGAATTCAGTAGACTTTCTTTCAGCAGTTAACTGAATCCAATGGAAATTAACTGACCTAATGTTACAGAACTTTCCCTATCAGGAAGCCTTGCTGTCCTACATCCACCCTCCTGTTCTTCTACAAGGCCTTTCCTTTCAGATTGCAGGCAGATTCAGTTGTTGGTGCAGTGCTATGTCCCTGGTTGGAAAGGGCATGTTGGGATGGATACAGAAGGTTGACTAGTGATGAATGTTTATATGCCTAGGACTGGGATTCACTTCGATGTTGAAGTAGGTGATGAAGGTGAGGCTCTGGGGAAAAGGAAATGAATACTTTTTCTGCTATCAGCTTAGAACAAAGGAGTTATAGATATGGCATTGTACTTCATCACTGGCCAATGATTATGGTTTATCTGATTATTAGGTAAATTTGCATCCTGCTTTTTATGGTGCACTTCTTGTACTGGTGTCATCTTTTGTCTGATGCTGGAGTGAAACAATCACAGCTAAAAACTGGAAAGATCTTTGCATTCAATAACCTATCATTTAAATTACTGTAATTTTTTTCTTTTTCAGAGGCATAAACATAAATTATACATCAGGTTTCATATGAGATTCCACTGTTTAGTGACTACAGAATTATACTATCTTATTACATAGAATACCAAAGGTTAGATTACACTGTTATTTCCCTCACCAAAAATCTCACAGTTTAGCCCATATGTTTCTCAGGCTAGTCACATATTTTGTTTTGTTTCTATTTATTTCAACACCCTGTCACAGCTCAGCTGACATTCTTCCACACACCCAGCTTTTTTAATGTCAGTGTTCCCTATGATCAGTAATAGAGTCACATAAAAGAGCAGCACAGAACACTTTCAAACGATGGTATTGGTGAGGAGAGTCTTAATTCAAAATCCTACATTCAGATCTAGAAAAATTCAGACTGGCAATACTTAAGGCTTGTAGCAGCTAATGTGTTAAGGACAGATAAGTATGTCAAATAACAAAGGTTTAAGCAAAAGTAAAATGACAACTCACTCTGTAAATAAAGGTACTTAATTGCCAGTAAGAAGCTGTGAGGTGGTTTTAGTATTCTGGTTGTTGACCAGCAAAAGTTGAATCACCTGGTTTATGTAATTGATGCTAGTTGTGTCCACCATATGTTAAAGCTGCATTTCCTAGACAAAAACTTCACACTGGATATAATTTCCAGTAAAGTTTGTGCTATCTACTGATCTAATTGCTTCTGACAGTCTAACTATTGTATTCAAGGTCTTTCAAAAAATTTACTGTACTGAAAGCAATGCAACCAATTCAGAAATTATAGATACTATAAACAGAAAATTTACAGAGAAGGTAATTATTTTCTGAAGCAACTGGTTTTAGAAGAACCCTTCCCTAGTCAGTGCCCCCAAGTAAAACACACTGCTGTTTACTTGCTTTATTGTTATGCCCTGCTTCCACAGAAAAGCTTCAGAAAGAGTCACACTTTTTTTTTTTTTTTTTTTAACATGCACACTGATATTTACCTGAAGAAATGTCCAAAATTTCTAAGTATGTGCTAACCTGTTGAGAATCTGCTTCTCTGCAGATTCTGTTACACTGAACAGGGCTGATGGGATATTGACCATGGCCCCAGTCCACAATTCATGACCTATAGGGCCTATGCTGTAGCAGCAAACTGGATATTATAGAATCATAGAACAATTTGGGCTGGAAGGGACATCAGAGGGTCTCTAGTCTGACTCCCTGCTCAAAGAAGAGTCAGCTATAAGGTCAGATCAGGTTCTTCGGGGCTTTATGCAGTCAGGTCTTGAATACCTCCAAGGATGGAGAGTAAAAAATGACAGATGTCCATGTGGTGCACAGGACTGTTTATTGCTATGTTTTTCCATCCTCATTCAGGGATGGTCCAAGATACAGTGTAGTTCCAGAAGTAAAATACAACAGCCAAGTGTTGAAAAGATCACTAACCTCTCAGCAAAGGCAGAAGAAGGAAATTCTCTCAGATTGCCCATGCTCAATAACAGGAAGGAAGGGAGGAAAGGGGTAAGACAAACAGGTTCGATTTCTTGATTTTAATTACGTGCGTGATAGGAAACTGAGAGAGACCCACCAAAGAACAGACAATAGCCTGGTAATGAAAGCACACATTTGGTTTGGAGATGCAAGATTTCAAATCCTGGGTCTAAATCAGCAAAACAAGGAACTCCATGCCTGTTTTCCACTTCTGCAATGAGTTTCCTAATCATGACTGTAAGTTATCATAGTGTGAGCAAGTCAGTCTCACAAACTTTTAAGGGAAGAACTCTAAAATATTTGGGGTTGTATTGCTTCCAGGCCACAGATTTGAAACTTCAGATACCTATGGGATTGAAAAAACACTTCCTTCCTCTTCTCTAAATCTACTTATTATCCAGACATCTATCCAACCTGACTGAAAATTTAAAACTTTTATCTAACCTGACTTTGAAAATTAAAACTTCTGGTTTCCTGGTATGATTCAATTCCAGTATTAAATTCCACAGGTTTATTGCAGATTCTAAGAATTTTCCATGTTGAAGAAATTTCCATATTCAAGAAGTTACACCCCCACCTCTGATTTTAGACTCATAATTCCTATTTCCTGATTAGAGCGTAAAGAGGAAAACATGAACTTAATCTTAGTTCTTACAGTCCTTGAGGGAAAAAGGGAAAACTATCTCTAGGTCAGTCTCACAGGAAAATTGCAGACCAAAGCACTATCCTTTCTATATCTACATTTATAGCAGGGCTAGATCCAGAGGGAATATTTACTGCAGCACTTAATAAGTTTATCAAAGGTAGGACTTCAGCTACATAAACTGCAAGACCCTTCAGGGATAAGAAGATGATTGTTTTTACAATGATGGTCTTTGCCAGGGCACTATGAATGATTTGCAGCTGCTTTGCACAGGCACAGTTGGTGTAAAATAGCCTTTGGCTCCTTATGAACAAGTCCCCTACTCTCAGTAAAGACTGAAGCATTTTATTCACTGTCCTTAAATGGGATGAGCACATGTCAAACGATGAGAAGAAATCAGCTCTAAGTTCATTCTAAGTGGCTTTTTGAGCAAGAAGGCACAGGAACTGTAAAGAAAATTTAAAATTCTTGTTCTTTTTCTTTTACTTTTTGGCTTGTATTACTCAACTCTTTTACTCTGCAGTTGCAATGTGCTTTATGTAAAAAAGAAATCTTGTTAGACAGAAGCTTTAAGTATTCCAAAATGTGTATGAGTTAGCCTTGGCTATGTAACAGCAACTGCCTGGGTAAGAAAGCCACAGAGCAGGGCTGTGGGTGAGAAAGCAATGATTTTATATTTGTTTTTGGAAAATTTGAAAATGAAAAAAACCTGCCAGTTTCACATTCATTCATTTTACCTCTGTAAGATGTGCTTTGTGATGTAGCAGAGAAACAACGTGACTGTCCCTTTAAAAGCCATCATAACAATCAGCAGGTTTAACTGTCAAGCAAGCTGATGTAGGGCTTTTTGAATTACTGAGTGAGGGATATTCTTCCTGCCAGGTCCTGTCCCCTGTAGGCACTGCAGAGAAGTATTATAGGGCAGTCCTTACCTTGGGAATTAGCCTGCAAGACCCCAATGCTGTCATCAAACTGCATAGATTTGATGTTGAGTGACGCCAAGATGCATTCCTTGTCCTGCAGCGAAGCATCATCAATATTATTCTGATTGGCTGACAGGATAACGCACATGTCGCAGAGGTTGATGTTGACAGCCCTTAAATCAGCCCGACTTAATGGCGTACCCTTCGGCACAGAGAAAAAAAAAAAAAAGGGGGGGGGGGGGGGGAAATTATTTAACAAGTATATTTTTTATGCCATGACATTAAGCTTGTCTAACTATGTGCCAGGGAATAGGAGATGTCTGCTAATCTAAAGGGTAGTTGGTGCTGATGGCAGCATTTTAGGTTCAGTCTCAATACTCAGTCAAGCTATTACTAACAAACAAGAAACAGGAATAATGCCAGCATTCTACATCTCATCGGTGACTTGAAATTGTCTTGATTTAAGTTGCTATTGTGGCAACCTCTGGCTCTCTGAATATAACATGGGGTGTGTTTTAAATGTCTATTTATCTGCTACCAAGTCACAATGGTCTTGGGCAAAAGAGCAATTTAAACAGGAAAGCATTATGTGTCCTACACATTTGAAATGCAGTAATGGCAAAGCTGTTTTTTTCTACCTGAAGCAATACACAAAAAAGGTTAATCCTTTTCAATGCATGTTTTTGGTGCTTCTAGAAGGAAAACACACTGGTCTCCAAAGTTGTGTGATTAAACCCTTTGAAACAGAAACAAGACTTTATCCTAATGGGCACAACTCATGCAACATTCCCTGCTTCCACAATTCTCAGTCAGGAAATGCAATAATTAAAATAAAATCTTGTGGTAGTCTGTGGGGTTTTTCATAATTAAGACAACCGAGACATGACGCTTAACCTATTATGTTTTCTTTAAAGATAACACTTGCCTTTCACATCCAATAGTCCACATCTCTAGTTATGTAATATTAAATCTGTCACAGAGGCTGCAAGGTCCGGGAAAAAAAAAGATTTTTGTATGGAAACCAGATTCTGCTCTGAGGCCTCACATGGTTTGGTACCCAGAGACCCTAATGATGATGAGGAGACTAAGCTGTCCCCTTGTCACACAGCGACTTTCATAAAACCAAGTCAAGACCCTACTCTTCCATCTCCTGATCACTCATGGTGAACACCTCCTGAGCTCCACTGAGAATATTCAATGCAAAAGTGATTTAAAATGCACAAAGTGAAGGCAGAGCTCAATTCACATTCAGTGATTGCCACCTAGTTTCAGATACCAGTCTGACTATTCCATGTTACTCTCAATAATTTGAGGCATGAAACCTTGTGGAAAACAGTATATATCAGATGATTAAGTTACAATGTGCTCCAAAGTTAGGATATGATTATTCCTGCCACCTTAATCCTGCCCTTTGTGTCTGTACTGTTGCACCAAGTGAAGCAGGATTCCTGTGGGGAAAAATAATATGCAATCATGTAATTAATTAAAGGCTTACTCCTAATGATTTTATGCAAAGGGACAGAATTAAGGCTGCCTGAGGATATTTAAAATTGGCATTTGCCTACTTTTTAAGAGTTTACTCAGCAGCTTAAATGCCTCTTTTAATACAGACTTCAAATGAAATTTCCACTTTTTTTTTTGTTTGTTTGTTGGTTTTTTTTTTTAACCAGAACTAATGTTTTTATGTTCAGCTGTAGCCACATCCCCATCAAATATCAGCAGCAAGTTTTACGTCGTGAACCAAAGCACAGAGAAGTTGGAAATTAGTTTGAGTGGCCTCCCTTTAACATGATTCCTACCAATATGATCTCAGAATATTTAGTAGACTTTTAAATTAGTATAATTAGATCAGAATAATGCTGATATTTTAAAATTTATATCACCATTTTGGCTGAAAAAAAGAAAAAGCAGTAATGAAGTCTGTGTGGTCTTCAGCACACTTGATTACTGTATAAGATACAATTCCTTTACATATTCTGTATTGTTAAAGGTGCATTAACTATTTAAGCTGTTTAAGCTGAAATTAGCCCAAAACTGCTCTACATTTGGGTGTAAACTGGGGAATGTAAAGTTAGTGTATATTTGCTCAATGCCTCTTCAGAATTCAGAATTGAATCTTTACAAATATGCATTATAATAATGGATACACATTCTATTCTGGATAGTAGTAGCTGGATTTTATTCTGCTCCATAGTTCAACAGTATTATTAATTTAATTCTGATTCTTTAGTTTTTAGCCTTCACAGTGATGAATTAAAAGGGATTGGCATCAAAAGGAGGATATTAAATGACAAAATCTCACACTGACACCATTTTTGTGATGCCATCTGTTGGATAAGTTTACAGAAAAAAGCCAAAGGCTAACACTAAAACTGAATTTACAGTAACAAAGACCTACAGACTGAATTAAACAAAAAGTGAAGGCAGTCCTTCCATTCTGTAGCTATTTTCCCAATTATTCAGTCTAGGTTACATCTATCATTGATTTATTTAACTGCTGAAATGTAATTACTAAGAAGTGGTAAATTAGTAATTTTTCATTCTGATAAAAAAATCCAAACTAACGTTACTCCATTCTCTTTCGTATTTACGCCATAGGCTTTTTTCCCTCCTGCCTACATGTTTGTGGGTCATTTACAGCTATGACCACCTAAGATCACTAGCTTGGAGGTCTTTATTTGTTTGTCCTGGAGCTTGTGTTTCTATGTGCTGGGCACATAATGATATTTAGGAGAAAAAGGACCTCTGAATTGTGGTTGCATTGGTTGTCCCTACTACAGTCAATAGGAGCTTTTAATTGATTTCAAAAGGGTCAGGGTTTTGCTGCATTTCCATACATGAGTACAGCAGGACTCTGAACTGAAATGCTATGGCAATGTTCCTTATAAAGTAGGCCAGCCTGCAGGAAGTTTTTATGACAATAGATAGATATTATGCAGATAAAGTAACAATTTTTTTTTTTCAAAGGTTTTGTGGGTAAAAATACATAATGTCATAAATAACTACTGTTATTCTGTCAGTGGAATCACATCAGAAGTGGCTACATGCAGTGCACTACAGTGAATGTTCGATATATAACACAGCTGATACATTTGATAGCTGCTGAAATTCACCCGATGAGGATGATGAGGAACCAAACACTGCAGCAAATATCTTCTAATAAGGTCTCACAGGGCTCTGTTTTCATAGACACAGTAAAGGGAAAATCTAAGTCCTCAGGCCTATAAGTAGACAAAAGTAAAAAAGCCTAAGATCAAAGTCAATACGAATCTGTCCAGTTGGTGTCCTATATAACAAAGTATCAATAATATGGCTTTGGACTTACAGGCAAGATTGAAACCTTGGGGAAGTTATGCAGTGTCTCCCATTCCCTTCTCAGGTATTCAAGTGAACCCACAAACACAATGTGCTTGAGTTCATGGTAGTGAAAGTTGCTGGCTCGTAATGGCATCACTAAATTTCTTAATCCAATCAAAGCAGATTTAACATCCCCAAATATGCAAACGACTACATGACCACTTAAAACTGTCATCGCTGCTTCACTTCGAGTCTAAAAAAAAAAAAACACAACAAAAAGACAAGGTAGAAATTAAACAAAGGGAAGCTTAAATCATAAATTGAGTTTTAAACCAGGAAAACCACAACTTTCAATATTATTCATGCACAAATAAGCGGTTTGATAACAGCTGTTCATTTTAACCTTATTTATCCTTCATTAAATGTGCTCAGCAGAAGAAAATTTCATTCTCATTTGCAAATCCTTCTGTGTTTGGGAAGACACTGCACTGGACCAAATTCTAGTCCTGTGTATGTTTCTACACATGTGGGTTAAAACTCTAGTTACAATCAAAGTACTATGGGTTTAGCTAAGGACAGAATTTGACCTATGCATTTAGCCATTAGAAGGATCATAGAAAAGAGGTGCAAAACCATGCCTTAGTTGACAAATCACTGGTGGGTTGTTTTCAGGACCAGTTTGAAAAGGAAGATTTGGTCTTAGTAGGACTTCGTGGTATTACACAGATCTTGTGAATTGAGGAACATATTCGCTTATAGTCAAAGTTCTTATGTTAGGACAAGTTTCTACTACCCTGAAAAGCAATCAAAGAATATCTGCACTGCTCTGCTTTACAATGGATGTCCACCATATTCCACAGAGCTTCTCTCAGTAAGAAAAAAAACAGTGTGCACAATCATGACTAATACTAACTTTTCAGGCCCACTGGACTTCCTGAGTTGTTGAATAGATACAAGGAAAAAAGTATCATGGAGAACATTTGAATGATGTTCAGAATTATCTTCTTGTCTCAGTGACAAGAATAAATTTTTGCACTAATTTCATCGGTGGTAATGTCAGTTGAGCAGGCAACTCAAACAGCAAGTAAATAAAGTCATTAGGAAACAATGACCTTCATTTCTGGAGCCAGTATTAGCATTATTGCACTCTGTCAGGTAGCTGCAGATCCACTGTTATATTGCCAAGAAGTTCTACACTCAGTACCATTACAAAGTTTTGCCAATGAATAAAACTAAGACACTGGTGAACTGCAAAATTTTCCCCTCACTTACTCATAGTGTATGTCCTTTTTATAAATTAAGGAAGCATGACAATGTGCAATACAGATTGGAATATGCAGCAGAGGTGTGCACTATGTAATAAGAATGGGAACTCTGTTTAGAAGTTTTCTCATAAGTAAAAAAATATATGAGCTTTCAATTTCTCTGAGGCAATTGCACTGATTTTCATGCAACAATACCAGGAAAGTGGTCTTGGCCCTTCAAACAGCAGAAGACATGAATGAACGTTCAAATGAGGCATGTAAGTTGCCCGATGCCTCTGCCTATGGGTCTGGAATACTCAGACTTTACAAGACAGAGACCAATTCTGGAAAGAAATTATGTAAAAAATGTCACTCTATAGTCATTGATCTGTATATAGCCATGTCTATTTGCCTGTAGTCAAAAAAAGTTATTACATGATACTGCTAGAAACTTTCAGAGCCAAAAAAAGACCTTGGGCAAAAAAATTAATTCTTTTCTGATGGAGGTATCATCAAGTATCAATTAGAAGTCAACCTGGGAAATCTCATAATCTTCAAATTATGTACTAAGGACAGTGTTAAATTTGCATGGATATGGATGGAGACATAAGACATGGACTGTGAATTTGAAAAGGTGTACGGAAGCATTTTCCTGGCAATCTTTATTGGTGATGATGCATGAAGCAGAAATAACCTGGCCAGACTTAGATTCACAGGCTAGTAGGGGGAAAATTTGACATGGCATCACTAAGAGATATAAATGAGGCACTCCACCATTTTTGAGGAAACTCTTCAGAGACAACATGTAAAGTTTGTTGGCTATAATGTGTTCAGAACATGAAGGCAGATTTCTATCTCTATTACAAAGTATTGTACATCAGGGCTGCCCCTCCTTACTGGCTGAATACCTATAAATGCATACTACTTAAAGCCGTTCAGCCAAACTCTGTGTCACATCTCAGTTTCTAGAATTTGGAATGTACTTGCTTGACTGTTTAAACACCGATATTGCAATTCCAGGCAATGTCACGGTCATTACAGAAATCCCTGTGGAGACAAGCTTTTAACCCCTGATTGCTAGAATAAACCAGGGCTGTCACCGTTGTCGGCTACACCATGCCACAGTGCAGGAAAATCTAAGAGAGCAGACTCAGGAAAAGCTTTATGAAATGTGACAAAGTGAAGATCCACCAGGGAGTTCATTTCAAATATCACCAGTTTTGCATATGAGATCTGAAGTTAGTTACTTGTTACTCTTAGGTATGAGTACATGAACACAAGTGGCACAAACTTTTACTGAACAAAATAGACTGTGATGGGCCTTCTAATTATTTTTAATTACTTAAGTCAGTTTGATGGTTTCTCCAGTTAAACAAACAAAACAAACATAGACAAGGCTCACTGCAACATGCTAGAAAGGCAGAGTAGTAGCACTACTTACTCTAGCCTATTTGGGCATCTTGAAATGTTGAAAATTGAGAGAAAAGTTCTAAGAGAGCAAAATTCACATCAATAAATAAGAGAGAATGCAAAGCAACACTTGTTTGTATTAAAATCATTACTGTCTTGTGTAAAGAGATAAATGGAGTATGTAAACTTAAATATTTCCAACCTTAATTCTCTAAAGATTTTAACCAAATATGCAAATTGCAGTTTATGAAAATCTCTATTTTGGACCAATTTTTATTGTTGCATGTGGCATACAGATTTATGTAATCATAGTTCTTTAAATCAAAATGCTAGCTTTAATTTCACCACGCTATGTTTCCAATTTCAATATGCTGGATTTAATGACAGTAGATACTAATTTATTAATCCAGTAGACATGAGTTCTAACTGAAGTTTTCAAACACAACTTATCATCAATACCTACCAAAATGACCTTTTCAATATCCTTGGCTGGACACCAATGAAACATCCCTGTAGAGTCATATTTTTTCACATTGGCATCCATATTGTCAATCTGCTCATTGCCAGGAATTAACAAAGGGTCATGCCTGGGGAAAAACAAGTTGAGGACAATGTAAGTGGAAAATATTATGAATTATGGATGGAAGATATCCCAAGAGCTGTGTACAAAGAGGGATAAAAGTGAAAAAAAGAAATGAATTTTCACTTTAACATGCTCTCAATGCAGGCACTTTTAAACGAAAGCTGAAGAGAAAAAAAGTTAATTTTATAATTTTGGATGCATTTTCAAAGATTTTCTATACTCTTTATACACCAATAACTATTTAATTTTAAACAGGGCTTTCTGACACCATCACATACATAGAAGTTTTTTTCTTTCCGTCCCACCCCTCCAAAATAAATATCGGAGTTGCTATTAGTATCTGCAATGAAGTAGAAATGATAGGAACAGAGCCCCATGCTGACTGACTGGCATAAGTATGGAAAGCCAATTACTTGCTTTTACCACATACAACTTCTGACGTGATGCTCTTCGCAGTAAAAGCTTTAACAGGCTGCACTTTAAATATTTTAGCAATTTGCCCAATCATATTTTGCTTTCCCAACTGAAGTCCTTTAAAGATTCAACAGTATGTCATTTTAGAGCAGACTGACTAACAAATGCCCACATCTGGAATACATGATTTTAATACCAAACAACAATGTCCATTTTCTCTGACAACTCTACCTGTGATAACCTTCTAAGTGCTTTTGCAGCAAGATTTTAAAGCACAGGGCTTCTCAAAGAAAAAGTAAATCAAAGACATATTAATCTACTTGCTCTCCAGCTATATAGTTACATCTAAGCACAGACATGTAGAGTTCTTTAATTTGTAAGCGAAAATCAAACATTAAACTAAGTACTAAGTGACTCCAACAGTCTCAGATGGTAGTGAGGATCCCTAAGTAATTGCATTATACAACAGACTTAGGAGGACCATGTTTATGAGTCACAGGGAAAACTGGCTCTAAAATCTTAAATTTAAGGAGGGAACAGAGATTTGTCTGCCAAAACTACAGTCTTTAGATTTTTGTCCTGAATCCTTGAAATATCCTGATACAGAATTGTAACATTTCAAAGAAGAAAATATTTGCAGTGTAGGAATATGATAAGTATTCTGACACAGGTGGCCAAATTTTAAAGCAGTTTGCCTTCTGAAGCCTATTAAAGAAATGCTCATATTGTCTCAACTCTCAAAACTCGGAAGTTTACTCCTTTTAAAGCATATGAGCCAGCAGACTGTGGTAAGAACCTGTCTTCTGCATTGTCTACTAAAGCAGACTTTGAACACTGCATATGGTATAGGCTAATTTACCCTGAATATAGTACAGTAAGTTACCACGCTTATAACAGTTATGTTTACATGCCTAAGAAAGGTATAATCTCTAATTACATCAGGGTGAAATTTGTGTAATTTTACAGACACTGTTTATATATCCATTGGAATCAGTGGAAAATTCTCATTCATTTCCCTCAAACAGGGTCAATCCCACAGAAATTGGCTTAAATGAATTTAAGAAACTATTAATACAATATTCCATTTAAACCAGAATCTTTTGATGCTTTAAGAAAAAACAATGTACTACACGTCAAAGGCATAAATCAGAATCATCTGGAAAAAGAAACACTATGTTTTCAAATTTTTTTACCTTCACTCAACAGAAATACAGTTCAGTGCATCTCACTGTCAACCCACTGGCAGCAGAGGAGTCTCTAGGGGACTACTTGGAGGCTCTGACCCTACTCCAAGTTTAATAATGAAAGGCCTTGCATAAGTGTGCTCCCTCTTTTGCGGGAAGCAGAGTAGACTTCCTGGTGCAAAAGAGGTACCAAAGGGGTGGGATTTTTAAAAATTTATTTATTTTTTAATTTCTAGAAAAATATCTAGACTCTGCATTCTCTTCTCCATTCATCACTGAGCTGCAGCCATGGTAGTTTTGGCTGAGAGCTGCAATGCTGTTCATAGGGCATTCCTTGCTGCTCATAGTTTCATGTGGTACAGGAAGGTCTGCAACCATGGATACAATTCCATTTGAGGGTTGTACTAATGTTTCAACATTTAGTGGTGCTCTGTCCTAGCTATTTTTTTTCTGATAGAATGTGTTAGTTATGTATTTCAAAATAAGAAAGTTTGCCAAGAAGGTTAGGCATCTTCAGGAGCTTCCACTGATAAATGTTTTCCTTTCTGTTGTTTTGGGGTTTTTTCCCCCAAAACTTTCACAAAACATTTCTCTGTGAGCTTTCCTACTAGAGAACTGAAACAAAATCAAAGTTCACTGATCAAATAATCTCCTTTTCCTTTCAGAAATCAGATGCATATAGGAAGAAATTTTCTTTTCCCCTTTCCCTTCATCAGAGAAACTATACTAAAGCAATTTATAAAAAATGCCACATTCTAATTTTCTAAACAGTGTTTCTTTTCTGCTCTGAGATTTAAAACTAAATAGATCATGTGAAGCTTTCACACAAATGAGTAACAATACTTTAATCCCAGTCACAGAAATGTTACAAAATGAAAGGAATTTTATAACAAAGTAGGTGATAACAGATATCTGAAATCAAATTGTGGTCAAATGCCTTGAGGTCTGAGGCATTTTTTAGCCTGTGAGTGTTTAAAGCCTAGCATAGATATCTTTTGTGTAAGGGTCCTGCATCCTAAAAGGGAATATTCAAAGTAGCTCATGCCAAAGATTTATTAGAAATTTACCTCAATACTGCTTTTTCTAGTTATCTTAGGTTTAAACAGGACTGTGCTATGGAAGGGACAAAGAATGTGAATCATCAGATATAACTCCCTATTGAAGTTTTAGGTAACAAAATCTGATTTTTTTTTTTTCATATATTTTTTCAAACCTATACATTTGCAATATGATAAACAGTTTGGATCCTCTGCTTCACTGCTTGCAGTACATCAAGTGGGAGCCTTAAAAGAAGCAAACAGGATGGGACACACCACAAGAAAGTATGCTTCTAATAGATGCTATTGCACTACTTTTACTATAGAAGAATGGATTATTGCCTGAGAAGAAAACTGATAAAACTAGCCGTGCTTTGTGTTTCAGAAGCTGTGGGTTTTTACATATAGCTGTGTTTATTAAATTTCAATCTTGTGGGCTAAGCTATTATTTTAATCTCTCTTTAATCAATGATTTTTCATTCTCAGTAAAGCAATCCCTGAAGATGTCTGCGGAGGCTGAGAACTGTTTACTACTAAGATTCAACTTTATCCTCAGATGTTAGAAGATATGCTGGTTTATGTACTTAACTGAATTGATCCTTGGACTTTTTTTTTTTTTTTTTTTTTTTTTATGAAGCAATACAGAAATAAAATAGTATTACTACTTTGAACATAATCGTTCTTGTTTATCTGATGTTCTAAACCTGTTTTGCAAATTGTAAAAATGAATTAAGAGAGACACACAGAGGCCAAGGCTGTCAAATCTGCCTAAAGTGTTTGGACACCTTCTTCCCATTAAAATTTATATTACACAGAGCATTATAGTTGTTGTCCTTATAGCCAAATCATGGACTGAATGTTTCTAGAGCTTCTCTGCCCCTCTCACCCTTGAAGATGGCCCTGTCATGCCATGCTTGAGTCACATTGGTAGGTTACTGTGGAGATGCCTGTATTAGTGCTGCAGCTATTATGTTCTCCAGGGCTGCAAAGTCATCTACTTGAAAAAATAAAATTATAGGAAGAAAAACACCTTCTATCAATTAAAAACCACAGTGTTTGTTTTAACTGAGATGTTGGCTTTTAGGGCTTGCAATCACCAAAGCATTTGGTCATTCAGCTAGGAAAAGACAGGCATGTATAGCATGCATGGGAGAAAAGGAGTGAAAGCTAAAACTTCCTTCATCCATAACACCAGTTTAAAAATAGCTTCTCTGGTTCTCTGGCAGATATTACTTACACATGACTTAAAATGAAGAGGAAAATACCATCTTTTCAAGGTTTTGAAGAGCATATAATGCCACTTATATCAATTAAACTTGAAAACAATGCTAAATGCCATGCTACAGCTGCAACCCCAAAAAGCCTGCCTGGAAGACAACAGCCTAAAGCTAAACCATAAATCCCACTTCCAGCAAACCTATTACGAGGAAGTCAACATTACATTTTAAAGAGCACTGCTTTCCTAGCACACATTTATAACTGCTGCAAACTTATTTACTTGGGAGTTTTTGAGTCTGGAACTTTGAATAATGACTGGGGATACCCAGAACTGAAAAGACAATTGGAGTCAAATGGCTGCCTCACTAAATGACTATTGTTTAGCATACCCTTGCATTCTGTCACCTTTGTCTTAATCCTTTTGCTATCATTCATATGTAATTGAGCATTAGAACAACATACCTCAATGATCTGCAGTGGAACTGCTCCACATGTTGAGAACCAGGAACAAGAACACCATATGACCACTAGGGACCCTGGTGTTGTTTGAAAATAAACTGTAATCTGTTAGTCTTTTGAACATCAGTAAAACACTGGCTACTTTTTATTCTGCTCCCTAGTAAGATTCTCATATGAAATCAATGGCAGAACACCACTGGGAACAAGCCCTGTGTTTGTTAAAGTCTGCAATTAAGTCTTTCTCAGGTAGATATATCTCTTATGGGATTTTTCCCACAAAAAGATGTTTAGCAGTCTCCTGCTCAAGATTCAGGGTCTTGAAACTCACTCTGTGCGTGGTTCAGGAATTATGAGTTTTCCTCCCTGACTTTGTATGTGGATGTGTCTTTGTGAGTGTATGCACACACATACTTAATTTTAGGAGGAAGGAGAGGTTTTGCTGAAGGTAAAATAGGAATAGAAGACACACTAGAGAATGTCTCATGCCTTTGAAATTTCTCCTACAACTACCCTAACAAATTGTGGCAATTAACATGCTGTTAGTGTTAGATGTATGCAGCCAGTGCAGGTGCTAATAATTGAAAAAGCATTTAGAGCTTTTACACCCTGGCTGAATATTTCATGATGTGCTGCATGTTTCACTATTTACTCAGTGGGCCCCTGTCACTTCAATCTTCTCTGACTGCTTTGAC